CATATATATATATATATATATAATTATATATATATATGATGATTATTATTATTTTTTTTAAAAATTAATTGACTACAAGGCTATAAAGATTTACAATCAATTAAAAGTATTAATTAAGAAAATAGAATAAAAATTATTATATTAGATTCAAATGATGTTTTAAATCTTACCCCAATCATTAATATCTTATGGCTACTTGATTAGGTTTATCAAAATGACTCTTTGTTCGTGACCGGCTCGTGTTCGACTCGCTAAGCAAACGAGTCAAATATGAACACACTTTTTTAGCTCGAAATATAAACGAGCCGAACAGGAGCGTTTACACCCCTACCCCGTGATACTTGCACCCAAAATTTGATATTACACTTATGACTAGCTAGGGGAAAGTGCAAAATAACTCATAAATTACCTTTTTGTGTTCTGACTCAATTAATATTTGTTTATTCGAACTAAACTCATGTATTGCTCAAAATAAAAAATTATTAAAAATTAATAAATTAAATAATATGATTAGCTACTTAGAGGAAATATTTTTGAGATAGGCGGGGAGGACACGAGGGTGCACGATAAGTTTTTTGGGGAGGGAGCGCGCGCCGGAAATATATTTTGCATTTAGCACTCACTTAAATACCACGCAGTTCTTATGAATTTATATGTCCACCCAAAAAAAAATTTCAATTCCAATCCAAGCTAAATTTAATATTTTTTCTTAAATACAGCATAAAATTTTAATATATAAATATCTAATATTATTAATTTATTATTTAACATTTTTTACCTAAATTGAGTCGAACATGGATAAATAAAGATTCATTTGTTGTAGAGGCAGTGATTCAAAATGTGAGCGTATCATGGAGGCAATGACCCGAAAGATGGGTGTGATGTAGAGGCAGTGACCCGAAAGGGTCAGCGTTATGTCGAGGCAGCAGCCCGAAGGAATGGGAGTGTCGTATAAGCAGTGACCCAAAAAATTGAGTATGATGTGAAGGCAATGCCCGAAATAGTGGGTGTGTAATGGAGACAGTGACCTGAAAGGGTGAGTGTGACGTGGAGGCAGAGCCTGAAGAGTGGGTATGTCATTAAGACAGTGACTTGAAGATGGTGTGTAGTAGAGATGGTGACCTGAAAGGGTGGGTGTAACATAGAGACAGTGACTCGAAGAGTAAGTGCGTCGTAGAGGTAGTGACATGAAGATGGGTGTGAAGATTGGTGTGTCGTGGAGGTAGTGACCCGAAAGGGTTGGCGTGTCGTGGAGGCATCGACCCGAAATTTAATGCCATGGAGGCGGTGACCCGAAAGGGTGGGCAAGCCATGGATAAAGTGGTCCAAAGGATGGAGACAGTAACCCAAAAGGGTGGGCGCGCCATGGAGGCAGTGATCCAAAGAATAGGGGTGTCGTGGAGGCAGCAACCACACCGGTTCGGCTTGATGTGCAAGCTGCCCCAAAATAGAAAACGTAGATGTCTGGAATGAGTGCATGTGGACAGTAACTCAAGTAAACTCAAACATCTAAGTCGTGATCATGCAATATGTCATGTAAGAAACACTAATGCGCATCCAAAAAATGTACTATTCAAATTAAGTTGGATGTTCGACCTGTTGGGTCTGGGGTTGTCAACTCAGGGCAACGTAGCCAAAGGGCTAAATCGAGGCGGTCGATCGGACCAAGGTGATCGATCAACCTGATCGGGGTGGGCAATCAAACCAGAGTGATCGGTCGACCCAATCGGAGCGGCCAGTTTTACCAAGGTGACCGGTCAAGCAAGCCTAAAAATTATTATGTTCGAAGCTTAAAATTTGCTTGATAAGTTTAGTTTTATGACTGGAATTGAACTCAAAACTCGGTAACATAAACTTGAATCACATTAGAATTCAACATAAGAGTATTGACTCAAAAAATTTTATATATATATCTATAAGAAAATCGGTATTTGGCAGAGGCCTAAATGCCGATTTCTCATGCGCTAGGCCCCATGGTAAGAGCCCACGGCATGTGCCAAAATATTTGAGAACCCAACGCCACTGAGAATCGAACCCGTGACCTGAGAGGACTTACAATGAACTCTCCCAACCAACAGGCATAAATATGGATTTTATTTTTTCACTATTTAAAATTGTGATATGTGATACACATTTTTATGATAATAAATTAAATCAATATATTAATAATTTCTATCATAATTATGAATTATTTTTATTTCTATTTTGAGGCAAGCACCTCAATCGAGTTTGAGGCTGACAACTCACCTCACTAGACTAAAAATGCCCAAAGTTCTCAATTTTCTCTTTTAAATTTTTTACATAATGTTAACATGAATGTCGATTCTTACTATCTTGGGTGCATAATCTTTACTGTTGCTCTGAAAACAGACGCATTGACAGACAGAAATCTATGAGTTTAATCTTAAAGGAAGTATTTCATCAAGCATTAAATAGAGCACAATTTTTTAGGTCATTTTAACTTGCTAGTATATTTTTAGGGCGATTTACATCCACACCACTCGATTCCTATGTATTTGCATATCCAACACCTAAAATAAAAGATTTACATGCATACCGCGCAATGTATCTACATACCTAACACCTATGCATTCATATTTACATGAATATCACTCAAATCTTTAACATCATATCAAATACCACCATCGCTGTCTTCTAAATAATTGAAATATACCGTTTCATGCATAAGCTTATGAACCAAAGTGTTAAAATTTTGGGTGTTTGATTTGTAAATAAGTAAGATGGTGTAGCAAGTAAGTAAATTTTCCTTTATTTTTTATATACATGCCAGCTTAACTTACCTCACCTGTGCATAAAAAATTGGGTGGTGTATAGGGAGTCTATTAATCAATGTTTTGAGATATATAATTATTTAACTATGCTAGAATAAAATTTCTCTTTTCAATTTTCAAACTTGTAACTACAAGTTTGTTTTGTGAGTCCTAGTATGTGGATACACGTGCAAGCATAAATAAACACATGATTGACATGAAATATCAAAAATCATTCAAAATAAAACCAATCTTTTACTCATGCCTGCCGAGCTCAACTAATAGAGCCACCATTCAACCAAACTCTATTGGACTTGAGATTGCAACAAATACCTTTGAATCAAACTTTAGTTTTAAGTTTGGATCAGCACGGAATCAGATATTTCAGTCTTAATTCTAGAAACATTTCAATATAGACGTCCATATATGCAAAATAAACCAAATCAAACATATAAAACATACCAGATTTTCTCGGTGTAAGGATGGCTGAATAAACAAAAAAAGATCCATTTTGCTTGCCAAGTAACACCAGCTCCAGCATGAGAAAAAAAATCACCATTAGCGCCACCTCAACATAAAAAGGCTTCATTTTAAGAACACCATGGTGAAGATTTAGCAGAAATCAAAGAGGTCATCATAGTCCATATCAGAGACTTCGCCATCATGATCATAATAATCAGAGTCACCATAAAGACGGTCATAATATGAATAAAATAGTGCAGGCGCTAAATCAGTGATTGGCCCGTCAAAAACTTCATTAAACTCAGAATCTGCAGTAGAGTCATTGGGAAGTCTCAAGTGTTTGACCAATTTGCATTTTTTCTTCAAATTTTCGTCAATCGTAATATTTAAACATCGACGAATATCAATATGTTGAAGATTGGGACAATTGTCGAGTATGGAAAATAACCCAGTATTTGTAAGACTGTTTCCGATAAGCTGAAGACGATGCAGCTGTTGCATGTGTGTCGCAATAGCCAAAGCCTCGGCATCAAAATTCTCATCAAAATCACTGTAATAATCATCATCGTATGGTAGTTTATGGTGTTGTATTAAGTCTGAAGCTCTTCAATTGCGGGCAAGCCAAGCTAACTGATCCAAGTAATTCAGCAGAAATGAAACAAAATGAGATTTCAAGCTCCTCCAACAGAGGAAATTTTCTAACCGCTTGAGCCAATGCCATTGCAGACATATTAAACATGGATATCAAACGAAGGCATCGCAGCTTAGTAGCTCTGCAAAAGTACGTGAAAGATTCAGAATAGTCATTCAGAATTAGAAAAGAAGCGCCACTTAGTAGCTCTGCAAAAGTATATGAGAGATTCAGAATAGGCATTCAGAATTAGAGAAGAAGAGCGCACCATAAGAGCATATGATCCATAGGCTTCTCAATCATAATGATCAATTATAATTCTTTTAGCAATACCTCTATAGAAGAAAACTTGGAGATGGCAAATGACCATCAAACTGTCAATATTTTTAATTAGTGTTTGGTTGGGACTATATGGACGCTGAATCGGTTCAGTTCCTGTATTTTCCTATTGCTGCTGTTTGGTTTTTTGCCTTGCTACTATCCAATGTTATCAATAGAGAGGAGAGGCCTTGCTGAGCTTCTGTATTACCTTATCATGAATTAATTTTGTTCTCTATATTCTTCTTCAGTCTCCCTTATGTTTTCATGGTATCAGAGCATTCTACTCCGCAGCAATCTCTCCAGTGCATCTCACAGCTCCTCCCTGTCTCAGCAAGCCCTGTCTGTCCAACCTTTCTGTTGAGTTCTTCCCACAGGTGCAATTTCTCTGGCTTATCTCCCTTCTGTTAGATGTCTTAGCTCCGTTTCTTGTGCTCAAAAACAGTTCGCACATTTTATCTTCCTCAGAGATTTGCTCAGCCTCCTTGATCATTTGATCTATCTCCTCTTGTCTCTGACAGCTCTTGTCGTCTCCCCTCTCTTGATCGTGTCTACGTGCTCATCCTTTTCAATTACTGAATTCTTTTTGTTGCAGACATAGGTCCTCTGCTGGTTCCTGGCTTCGAACCTGTCTTTCACCTGTCTGATTCACCCTCTGCAGTTAGTTATATGCAATTTTTTTCTTTCTAAATTCTTCTAATCTCTCTCTGTATTCTAGTTTCTGATTTCTGATTTACGGTTGAAGACATAGGATTTTCTAAACTCTTCTTTCCCCTTTCTTTCTATCTGCTTTCTTCATGAGCACTCATTCCAATTTCTCAATTAACATAGAAATGGCCACCAATTCTAGCAACTCTCTTCCCGCTGATCGCCCGATCTCTACCCAACTAAAATTTCTGTTGAGCAACATTAAAAATGTTATCTCTACAGCTCTTACCACTGATAATCATCCCACTTGAAAAGCACAAGTACTGAAATAATTCCGTGCCAACGGGTACGATGAATTTCTTGATGGTTCTTGCTGCTGTCCTAATAAAATCCTCCAACATGATTCAGGACTTAATATACCAAATCCTGATTATAGCAAATGGATCTTTATGGATCAAAAACTCACTACTGTCATTTACTCCGTAGTTTCCCCATCTATTCTACCACATCTTCTTACGCTTGAAAACTACGCTGAAATTTGGACCACTATTGAAAGAAGACTCCAATCATCTAATCGATCTCATATTCTTCAACTTAAGAACGAACTTCACAATGTTTCAAAAGGAGATCGAACCATGACCCAATATCCAATATAAAATCGACATACTTGCCACAGCTAGTGTCCTTCTCTCCACTGAAGATATAATACTTCATACATTTCATGGTTTGTCTACCGCCTATCGTGCCTTCAAGATATCTATTCACACTCATCTCCAACCAATTAGCTCGAATGATCTTTACACCCTTCTATGTAGTGAGGAACTCACCATAGCTCAAGAAGCCCTCAAAGAAGCTACTCCTTCTCAAACTACTACAGCGTCGGCTGCTTCTAAGCGCAGCAGATACAAGGCACAACCTACTACCTCTTCTAACCGCAATTACCCAAATTCTGGTTCCTACATGAACCAGTTTGGTTCCTCCATAGGGCAGCCTTCTCAAAACTTTCCGAACCCATCTAATGTCCGCAAAAACAACAGCACTTGTCAAATCTGTAACAAAGGGGCACTCTGCATTTAAATGTTGGCAGCGGCATGATCTTAACTATCAGCTCACTACTGCCCTTATCTCAGATTCTACATCCAATTGTGACCAGCAGTTGATCTTAGACAGTAGTGCTACTCAACACCTCACCCCAACTCACATCAGCTTCACAACTTTCAAGACTACAAAGGTGACAACTTCATATCAGTCGGAAACGGTCAAAACTTCCCATTATACATATTGGTCAATGACAGCTTACAACTCCAACTCGTAAACTCATGCTTAATATTCATCATGTTCCTAACTTAGTCTATAATCTACTTTTGGTTCATAAGCTATCTACTCAAAATTCTTGCAATATAACTTTTACTATTAATGGTTATTCATTAAGGATGTGCAGACCAAAAACAATCTTCTTGAAGGGCCCTACATTCATCGTTTGTACCCAATTCAGCTTCCTCCACCAGACATCAATAAGTCCTCAAATCTAGCTCTCATATCAGTTTGACATATTCCAGATCTTTGGCATGGGCGACTCGGACACCCCCACAATCATATTCAGCAATTTCTTGCCTCTAGTCTTCAACATGTCATTCCCAAAACATCTTGTAATTCATGTGACCTGTCTAAAAACAGGAAATTATCTCTCTTTATCTTGTACCAAGGCAACTACACCCTAGCAAATTATTCACTATGATGTCCGTGGTCCTTCCCCCACCTCTTATCAAAATTATAAATACTATCATTTTTGTTGATTATTTTCTCGTTTTATTTTAGTCTATTTCCTTAAACATAAAGATGATACTTTTACTGAATTTCAGGAATTCGAATGTCTTGTTAAAAATCAACTCAGTTCCCGCATAAAAATTCTTAGAACCGATGATGGAGGTGAATGTTGCTTATTTATCTCGATTTGGTGTACACCCCCGAACAAAACAGTGTTGTCGAACGAAAGCACCGACATCTTATAGAAACAGTTCGCACACTCTTACATGATGTTCATCTTCCCACTCATCTTTGGGCTGACACTTTACTCACCGCCTGTTATCTCATCAATCACTAACCTACCAAAACGCTTCAATACAAATCGCTATATGATATATTATTCCATAAACAGTCTAGTAATCAACACTTAAAAATATTTAGTTGTGTGTCCTTTCCTTAGCTCAAGCTCTATCATAATCATAAACTTAAACTTTTATCGAAAGAAAGTGTTTTTCTCAGTTACCCTCCCTTCCAAAAAAGGATATAAATGGCTTGATATGTCTGCTAACAAAATTTGCATCCCCATCAAGTAATATTAAAGGAATGTGTCTTCCCTTCCAAAGAAAATCAATTTCGAACTCATCTCGTACTAAACCTGCCACTGTCGGTCAACTTTTTTATTTGAAAATTTAATTTAAATATAAAGTATATAGTTTAGATTATGAAAGTAGTGTTTTAATTTTTTTAGGAAATGAGACCGAATGAATCTTATTAGTCCAATAATTTGCATAATCGTACCTGATACCCTGAATACTATACATTTTAAGAAATGAGTTTAGACCCCGGCGATAGACTCAATCTTGCGAACTAAGAGATTTGTGACATCTATTTAATTTGAGAACCTTTTATATGTGAACGACAAATTCTCCTATTATTAAACATAGAAAAACACATTGAAATGTGCCAAGATAAAATTTTTATAGAGACAAGCCCCTATAGTTAATTACATCACAAATAACGAGAGTCACTTGAGAAAACTCTCGATAATAATCAGTGGTTCTAGTCTTCAAGAATTTGAGGTTTATGTTTTCACGGTAGGACGTGGAAAAAAACAAATGGGGGTGGCTCACGTAGGAACAATTCTTTCAGTTCAAATGAAGTAAATGGTAGGGAACGTCACAGATCCTGAGGGGAATCCTCAGTGACTTCCCAAACTATTATACTCTGTGACTGAGTTTTGGAGACGATATTATTTAGGTGTTTAATCTTGTCAATTTTATTATATGAGACTTACTTATCTGATTATGCGAATAACCCGCAAAGATAAGAGGATTTACGTCGTACCGCACGACAACACTGGAATCTAAGGCGAGTTAGGATTTACGCTGCACAACATGGTTGTACAGGAGCTTAAAGAGGGTGTGAGAATTTACGTCGCGTCAGGTAAACTGCCTCGAAGTCCTATGAGTTGCTATTTAGACTAAGGAGAGAGAGATTGTTGTTGAAGATCCTCTTGTCGCTTGATACAAGATTCTCGTAGTGCTGCCCTCAAAGTTGGCTTCAAGCTGTTGTTGTAGCGATGAATCCAGGGTTTAAGTTTTCTAATGTGTCAAGTCATGGTGTCAAATCAAATGTTTTCTAAGGTTATGATCATTTATGTGTTATGGAGGATGTTAAAATTGATTAGAGCGACACCGGTTAGGATCTCACGATTCCCTTCCCTCGTGATCTCACGATTCCCTCGTTCCGGTATCACTATTTTCTTTTGATTTTACTTAGCTTAAACGAATTATGAAATCCATTTAAACCGGGGAAATCTCGTTAGCAACTGTGAGTTACCGCCTTCGAGGGACTCCCGTAAATTCGAAAGAACATGCTTTGTATTTTTTTTTTGAAAATGTTGTTTAATTTTGAAAAATCGTTTTATTTTGAAAGTGAAATTGTATTCAGTATCTGCATAATGTGTTAGGGCAAAAATAAATTGCAATGAAGAAACAACAAAAAATAAAATGTATCTGCGTATGTGGCGTATCTGTTGGTGTTATCCCTGTTGCATGTTTAACTCACAAAACAAAAATATAATTTACAAGAAATTTAAATAAATTATAGAGAAAAGAAGAAAATAGTAAGCAGTTGAACAAGTCGTAACAACAATCTGAACAACAACTAACAAGCATGCACGGTGATCCTACGATCTCCTACGGCTCCTGACTGCAACTAGCGAGCTAGTACGGTGATCCTAAGACCTCCTACAGCTCTGAGCAATAACTAGCAAGTGTACGGTGATTCCTACGACTCCGGACAGCAGCTAGGAACTTCGAATAGCACCTGTATGGTTTTTTATGAACCCAAACAGCAATGAGCAGCACCTATGTGGCTTCCTACGAACCCAAACAGTGGTGGGCAGCACCTAGATGGCTTTCTTCGAACCTAAACAGTGGTGGACAACACCTAAACGAGCTCAAATAGCAGTGGGCAGCACCTAAAAGGCTTCCTACAAACCCAAACAGTGGTGGACAGCACCTAGCTGGCTTACTATCAACTCAAACAGTGGTGGACAGCACCTAGGTGGCTTCCTACCAACTCAAACAATGGTGGACAGCACCTAGATGGCTTCCTACGAACCCAAACAGTGGTGTACACCACCTAGGTGGCTTCCTACGAACCCAAACAGTGTTGGACAGCACCTAGATGGCTTCCTACGAACCCAAACAGCGATGGGCAGCACTTATGTGGCCTCCTCCTACGAACCCAAACAGTGATGGACAACACCTAGATGGCTTCCTACAAACCCAAATATTGGAGGACAACACCTATGAAGTTCCAAAATAGTGCTGATAATCAGCCCAAATCGGCACCTAAAGTGGCTCCAAAACAGTGAGAAATTTGAGCAAGAACAATCCTATAGATTGCCTCAAATTGGCTAAGTGGTTAAAAGAACCCTCAAATGATGTTTCTAATTCTTCCAAAACAGTGATTAAAACAGTCCCCAAATGATGGGTTTAATTCCACCAAAACAGCAATTAAAATAGTCCCTTAAATGATGTACCTAATTCTTCCAAAACAGTGATTAAAACAGTCCCCAAAAGATGGGTTTAATTCTACCAAAACAGTGATTAAATAACCCTGAAATGATGTGTTTAATTCTTCCAAAACACTGATTAAAACTATTCCCAAATGATGGGTTTAATTCCACCAAAAAAATAATTAAAACAGCTCACAAATGGTGGGTTTAATTCCACCAAAACAGCTTTTATTAACTCACAAAACGTATTTCTTGAAGCTTCAAAATAGTGAGTAAAGCAGCCCCCACCCCCCTCTCCCGAATGATCAGAAGTGACATGCAACTTCCTACCCAAAATTGCAGTGTTTTATATGGTACGAAAAATTCGCATGGCATGAATGCAATGGGCGAAGTTTATATGTGAGATATGTAAATATACATTTGAATTGAGTGGAATGATTTCCTCAATTCCCAAATCAGTCTGGATAAGTCAGCTCACAAAAAACCATGCTATTGCATGAATAACTTTCACCCTCTTCCACCAATCAAAAGCAGAGGACCCTTAGATCTTTGCAAAAGTGAGAAGAAAAGCATGCAAAATTCAAATTCTTCACCATCTCCCACAAATCAAAGAGCATAGGATCTTCAAATCTTCCTAAAAGTAAGAAGAAAAGCATGCAATTTTCAGATTTTCCCCCTGTGTAGCCGCTATCAGTAGTAGCAGTGTCTAAGGAGAATGAGACACATGGTTCGTACTCCAAACACTAAAGTATTCTAAATGTGTCTAGGGTAAGCTGTGCAAATTTAGCCCCATCATAACAATAGCTATTCAAGATTAAGATCGCATCACATAGAACTAACATTTCCTAGAGTCATAAGAAGCAGCAGGAAGAGAATATGGATGCATGTGTATAATTCTTCCTTGACTAAAGAAAATAAAGTGAATTATAAGCATATGAGTGCAGGAATTTCACCTGCTGAATTCTAATCAAGAGAGAACAATTCTAATCAAGAGAGAAAAGTAAACAGCTTCAATTATATTCTTCTTCAAAATTAAAGAATTGTAATTTTCTTTTACCTTCATCAGATTTAAAAGTTTTGATTAAGGTATCTATGTGAAAGAAAACAAAGTTTAAAGCGAGAAGTTTGGACCTGTACCGACAAATAAGATCACACAGTAACAGAAGCCTCTCCTGCATGAGGAAGAGGGAATTCGGGCAGGCGCTTCTGTTCGCAAAAGAGGAGCTGGGGCCGAACAGGGGAGGAAGAAAGCGAGTGTAAAGCTTTCTGCGATGAGGGAGTCGAGCAGGGGATGATCGAACGAATCCGAGGAGGGGAGAAAGGAGGCGAGTCTTCCTATTCGCAGAGGAGGAGCGTTGGATATGTTCGCAGAAGAGGGGCTAGGGCTTCAGTGAGTGAGGCAGAGAGGGGAAGAGGCGAGTCGTAGAGAAGCGTGCGGGTCCGACACAGAGAGAAGAAGAGCAAGTGAAAGCTTCGGTCGAGTGTGAGATCTGAACGGAAGCGAGCGAGAGAGGCGAGCGGGGGTTTGTCGAGCAAAGCTTCTCCTGCATGACGAAGAGGGAGGCGGGCTCGAGCGAGAACGTGCAGTGCAGAGGATTTTGATCGCGAGCAGGAGAGGGATCGAACAAGTGGGCTTCAATGTGTGAGGCAGGAGGGGGAGCAAGGAGTTGAGATTCCTGTCGAGAGGAGTTGAGATGGAGTGCTTCAAGCAGGAAGAGCAGGGCTTCAAGCTGGAGGAAGAGGCGGGGGAAAGCTTCTGTGCCCAAGACCAGTGACCAACAGGGGAGCCGAATGATATATCAAAATTTTGCAATGTGTCTGTTACAAGAGATTGGGAGGGGAAATCAATACCTTCCATTCATGGAGCAGGTTTAATTGGAACAAAAATAACACCTAAATATCTTTAATTAAGACAAATTTAAATAATTTGTTTGAATTTTGAAATTTGAATTTCAAATTCATGTGAGCTGGTGCCTAGCCCGTGTTTAGCCCGAGTCTAGCCTAAATCGAACCCGAGTCGAACCTAGGTTGA